CATTTAGAATATTCGTCAGATAAAAGTTTTGCAATTACAACCATCTAGTACCCCAGTGTGACGTAAAACACCTACGTTTTAGAGATATTTTACACCGTGTTGTTTTCATTGTTTTCCACAAATACTTTACGACTAAAACAATTTTCTTTCAAACCTGAATATTAGCTGAAGATGAAAATTCCATCTGGTCCATTGAACGAACATTCACTAGAACAACATTCCATCTGGTCCATTGAACGAACGTTCACTAGAACAACATTCCATCTGGTCCATTGAACGAACGTTCACTAGAACTACATCACATCTGGTCCATTGAACGAACGTTCACTAGAACAACATTCCATCTGGTCCATTGAACGAACGTTCACTAGAACAACATTCCATCTGGTCCATTGAACGAACGTTCACTAGAACTACATCACATCTGGTCCATTGAACGAACGTTCACTAGAACAACATTCCATCTGGTCCATTGAACGAACGTTCACTAGAACTACATTCCATCTGGTCCATTGAACGACTGGTAGCCACGGACCTGTAGGGACAGACCCTGGTAACCAGCCACACAAAAAATAAGATTAGACTCATGTAGAAACAACCTACTGTAACAATAGAACATAATATACATATGCCCACATGAAAGCACTGAATACCTGACACCTTAATCATCAGAAGTTACCGCCAGAACATCACAGAGGGAGAATCATTAAAACAATGGTAATCGCCGTATATTTGTTTTAAATTATTCCATTAAAATGTTTTTAAATAATACCTCCTCTATTGATACATACGTTTAAAAAATATATTTATAATCTGTGAAATTTGTTCCATCTTACAGAGACATTTTGTAATAAAAACGTCTACAACCTCTGAATAAATCAATGTAACGTAATGTAAGCTCTACTAATTCTACCAACACATCTTCAGTGCCTGCCATGGTATTTATGGCATCAGCCTAGTAAATGTTGGTACAAATTTGTCATCGATGTTCTCTAAGCCGACATAGTCTTGCAGCAGCTGGTCAAGACACTTTAAACTTTTTATAGATTTAAAAAAACAATATTTACACTAACTATTTTATACATATTTTACATATTAGAAGGAATAAAAATGGCTTTAAATATTTAATAAAGCATCGATGTTCAAATAAATTAAAACCAATGTGCAGGTTTTATTTAATGAAATGCTTGTACGGATTATTACTTCAGTATAAATAACCAACGCTTTTCTTATTAGTTAAGTAAATAGATTTCGGTATTATAAATTCAAATGCAATATATAGTTTGTTTTTTTCTTTTTAGCGGATATATACAAACTGGTTATTCAAAACAATCGTTTTAACATTAATAACAATCGACTTATAATATACTTTTTGATTATATAAAAAATGAAAAGGTAGACAACCAATTACAAATAGACTTGGTTTGAAATTAAATTAATTCATTGATAAAAACAGTTTGCTTTTATATTAATACCCTAAATTTTATTCTTCTTAAAAAAATCTTAACTTATTAAATGTATTTTTGTATCGAATGCAACTAAATGTTACTTAAAATTTGAAATTAACATACTTATAAACGCTGGAGTAATATGAACATTTAAATTTGAAATATATTAAATTTTAGTTTGATCTATGCTCTGAGAACTGAATTTAAGTCTCTGCTAAAATAATTGCATTTTACAAATTATTTTACTTTTAATAAATAAACTAAAGTAATGCCTACTCAATAATGAATACATTTCATGAAACCATCATATACTATTGTGACCTACTTTGGTCTTGGTAATAGTGTGAACTCGTGTGTACTCAATAGGCAGTGAGCTCCCTATTTTATTAAATGTTGTAATTTAGACCCATTTGAAAGTGTTCACTTTCGTACACTATCCCATAATCCATCAATAATAGAAATATATTTAAAAAAAAGAATTAGGGGAATCACACATAGGAGAGAGTCAAAAGCAGTAGTAAACTGGTCAGTAGTTACATTGAAGTACATTTGTATTCAGTATCTTATTTTCCTTGTGAAGGCTAAGTTAGTTATACATTTATCCGATCTAGTGTTATAATAAATAATTACGGGTTAGTATAGCAATGTTATTTTTTGTTATTTAAAGAAACGATGTTTTATTTCACACGCAACAGCTTTATGTTGCTTAAACCATGTTATGGTGTAATGACTTCAATACATCAATTAAAAGCTATTTGATAAAATAAATCAGTTTACACAAGTGTTTTCAATGTAATCGTTTTAACTAAGGATTACGAATAATGCTCAAATATTGATATTTAACATTTCCAAATTGAAGAAATACAGCGTATTTAGCAAAATAGCCTTTTAACCAAGCTAATAGGGGGAAAAAATGAATAACCATACAAACAATTTTAACTAGAAAAATTCAAAGAAACTTCAAAACCATGATACAACAGGCATTAATAAAACATCTTAGAGGCTTTCAAAAAAGACACATTTTCCTAAAGTCATAAATGAGCCTGTAAGGTTGGTTGGTAAAATATCACGTAGCTCACTCGCACACATAACGTGCGCGACAACTCATCTCAAGAGGTTTTACACAATTGACACTAAATGACATTTTTAAAAATAGAATAAAAATAAAATAAATTCATATAGTGCATTAGGCTCAATAGACTATTTAGTATTACTAATTACATGTTGAATGTAATTAAAATCATATTTGTGAAAAATGCTTTACTTGAGTTGTGAATAGGGATTTTGTGCTACGATTTTAATACCTGATTGTTAACACTTGCGTTACTCTTTGTCTTCCCAGCATCCACAACCTTAAAAAAAATAAACAAAAACAAACTTTGCAGCGGCAAAATATAAAAGTTGAAATAGGTTAGTCGTACCGTTGTTGCCATATGTGAAGTGTTCATACATCAACGGATTCCGCTTAGCAACACTTATCTGTAGCCCTGAGTCTTGTAGCGACAAATACATGTAGCCATCGTTTATGTAAGCACATACACATTTATCCATTAACCAATATATCCATCGTTTATGTAAGTACAAATACATCTATCCATTAGCCCATGTAGCCATCGTTTATGTAAGCACATACACATTTATCCATTAACCCATATATCCATCATTTATGTAAGCACATACACATTTATCCATTAACCCATATAGCCATCGTTTATGTAATCGCAGACACATGTATCCATTAATCCATATATCCATCGATTATGTAATCACAGACTCATTTATCCATTAACCCATATAGCCATTGGGTAAGGGTTAGGGTTAGGGTTAGGGTTATGTATATAGCCTCATGAAACTGACTCGTGTTCGTTATCGAGAAACTAACCCCTTAGTTATAGAAACGGATTTAAAATCTTTTTTGTCTCTGAACATCATTTAATAACCATCAAAATGTAGGGCCTTCCCCCGTTCATATCCTCACACCTTCTTAAAATATAAACTAGTCGGATTGTTTGAGAAACATACGAGCTAGATACATAGAGTGTGTTAAAAGTGTAACATCTTACACAGTTTTATTGAAGGTGCTAAATATGTCTTGGGTTATTTATCTTAAGCTGGTTTTAAACAGCTTCATTGACAAAAACAAAACAAAAACATACCATACCCCCTCTTATATATATATATATATATATATATATATATATATATATATATATATATTAGCATTATACTAGTAACTAGTTAAATTATATGGTTATGTAATGTTTATGGTGACCATCGATGTATGGTGAAAGACACCAGTTAGTTTATTGTAGGCCTACATTTAGCCACTAGAACAATGTATTTTGTGGAATAAGATATAAAAAAGTATACAAAGATTACAAGATATTAACGAAAATAGCAATATATAATATTAATTTCTCATGTTGACAGAATCATTATATGAAAATACAGATGTTTGACTAGATAATCTATTTCAAATTGTAAATTAAGAATTATTTTGACTCAAAATATATCTAGTTGTATACATGTTTTTATTGTGTTTATATCTTTAAAATCAATAACTATACTGCCATTTATCAAACTAATTTGTAATTAAATTTTAAAAACAGAAGAGTAAGTTAAGTTTTCTCCCCTGACAAATGCAAATTACAATAACCAATAGAAACATGCTTTTAGTTATTAAAAAGCTGTTTTAAATAGGTAGCATTGAACTTTCGTATAGAAACTTAATGGTTTTGTAATCAAACCAAATCATGAAAGTATTTCACACACACACGCAAACACTCACACACGCATATATATATATATATATATATATATATATATATATATATATATATATATATATATATATATATATAAACTGTAACGTTGTATAATGGTTAGATAATGTGGAAAGGGCAACGTGTGACGTTAGCCATACAGTAGAATTTGTTTCTTTATTCCCTGTGCTTGTTTTGGCCAGAAAAGTGGATAATAATCTGCCTTTGGAAAGAAAGGTTCTAGTGTAAATGTTCATTATTAAAACACGTATACTCGATATACAGGAATGATTTCAATATTTAAATCCCTCCTCACCAATACACAGATTGCGGTGACTTAAGCCACAGTATCAATTGTGATTATAGGCAATGGAAAAAAAACACATGAATACATAATTATTGTTTGTAATTCATTAATAACCCTACTAACAGGTGTGCAAGCATAATGCTGGAACATATGTTTAAGATAAATACAGGGACTTATGTTGTACAGTCAAGAACAGAACATCGTTAAAAAAATAATGGTCTAACTTTCAACCTCTTATAACGGTCATTGTTAAATCGTTAAAAATATTACATAAAATTGTTTACACAAATGATTGTTTAATAGTCCACACAAGGTTTTATCAGATAAAGTCAGCTACGTAGAAACAATTGTAACTGACTTAGAGTGTTCTTATCAAAATAAAAACATACCACTTATAGTTTATCTTGTGTACTAAACAACAATGAACCAATGACAATGCCATCTTATGCAACACTTTAAATATTGCTATTGTTTAACAAGTAAGATGCATATGATATAAAGCCGGTTCTGTTTGTGTTGGGTTAAGAAGCCTGAGAATGATTAGTTTTGTGGTATTCGCTGTTGTCTTTTTCGGAGCTTTTGTTTCAAGTAAGTGCATCATTTTAGACGTAGTTTGATTTTCCGAAATGATTTCTTCTAGGGTTGTTTTATAATTGTAAGCTGATATTAGTCATGTTATAAGTTACACAGTCAGGATTGTAATAAAATAAGCTGTTGAAACATACAATTTACGTGGCACTAATTTAGAAATATCAAAGAGTATGTGCACCTATACGAATCAAACCAGATGGTTTCCCTGTAGAAAAAAAATATGTTTCACTTGTAATGACCACTATTCTGTTCTTTCAGCTACCGGCATACATATCGAAGCTACCCCCTCCAGTATAGTTCTAGGAGTAACACGTCATCTCGATGTGAAATGTGTGACAACACGAGAAAGAAACTCTACCATGGAGACCCTCATCTCTTTAATCATCTCCAGATCAACAAACCCACCAAACACGACTTTCAAAGAACTGGCGTCATTGACTATGTCTACTCCAGTAGTTCAGATAACGGATGTATCGGAAATTAATCTAACAGCGACAGGAAATATTGACAACAATGGCGAATCATATATCAGTCTAGTTTGGGAATACCCGGACGCAACAAAATCTGGTGTGTACAAATGTGAAGCACGCGGCATAGACCACCTAGGACATAATGTGTACGCACAATCCACAACTTTGGTGTCCTCCACACATCCTGATGTTGACACTTTATCCGGACAAATCAAGACACTGACATCTTTAATTGAACAGCTGACAGAAGATGGAAAACAACAAAAGAAACGGTTGGACTCATGGAGCCGAAGATTAGAGGTTGCTCGACAAAATATGTTTACAATTTCTCCAATATTCAATGGTAGGCGGTATTTGTTGTCTAGAAAACACAGCTCATTAACGCTTGATGATGCAGCTGCTGAATGTAATTTGTTTGGTGGGTACGTGGCTGAAATAGATTCTGATGCGGAACACAAGTTTATCATAGAACATCTGCTGGCTACCGAGCATTACTTGTGTGTAGCGATAGGAGCGAAATTCGATGTCAATGAAAACATTTGGATCAACACACACAGCAACACAACAGTTACTTATTTTAACTGGCTTCCTGGGAAACCTGATCGTGTACCGTTTGCAGACTGTTTGTGTTTGCTTCCTCCTGCTTGGTTTATGCATGAAATGCAATGTTCTTTTTCTGGCACCGACTATTCGATTGGCTACATCTGCGAAGTGCCAGAAGAGGATTATGCGATTTAAATCCAATTTAAAATCAGGAAGGATAATTAACATAAACATAAAACTGATTTGGTAAATGAGACTTTTCGGTGATTTAAGTCACTTTAGTTTTTTTTTTTTTTTTTTTTTTTTACTGAATACACTATTTAAATATAACCAATAGTCTATTAATAGCTTAAGTAAAATAAAATTAAATAAAGATAATGTGTGTTGTTGTGATTTATACAGGTTAACTTGGGAACTACTTCCGTGACTAGTTAATCATAGCGAGCATGCACAACATAAATTATTTCTTGTTACAATATGTTAGTATATAAAAAATATGCCTTAAATGTATCTGGATCATTTAAAAAACTCAATCTTTATAGCAGCACTATAGAATTAGGGCAGCTTTAAAGGAATGTGAGAGACTCCCCAAAACAATCCACACCGATTATTACTCACATAATTACTTGAGGGGTGCGTTCATTGTAATTATGTATACCTCCGGTAGAAGTCATTGAGGGGAGCGGATGATTGCTTACTCTAGAAAATTTCAAGTTCGAATCCTGGGCAGGTGACTGTCGTTGACAGGGGTAACAAAAAAAAAAACTTTGATCGCTGTTATTGTTAACAGGGGTCAGCAACCCATCCCTAGAAAAATTTAAAATTCAAACCTCTTTACTAAATATAGAATACGAGCCGACCCGCGGCATATCATACGCCGCTATTTAGTTGTTTTATTTTCCACTTTTCAGCTGTCACTGAAAATATTTGCTTTAAAACAGTATCAGTAGCCCGTTAAGGGCGATAACCCCCCCCCCCACCCACCCACCCTCCTTTCGCCCAACCCCTACCCCCCTGAAAGAAGCCTCCTCTTAGTTACCTCCCCTAAGTTTAAAAATCATTTCAAACTAAATTATCTGTCCCAAATAGCCGTCACTAAACCCATCTCTACGATTGTAAACATTTAGCGTGAACCACAGCTCACCAGACCATGTGATATGCCTAGAGAGGAAGAGAATGGACTGCAAGGCGCGCTTACAGCTTGGTGTTTTCTAACGTCGTCAAGAAGAGAATTATATATATATAGATTGAATGTAATTCTTAACAATTGATTAAAGTGTATGAGGAAAACTGTACTTTAAACTTTCAAAATAACGTGAAAGGGTAGCATTCTGTTCAGTCTCATATCAGACCACCAACAACGGGTGCTATGTTGCAGTACCACAATTAGCTTTTCCATCCTTCCATTATTTCTGTTTTATGGTTTTTCATTTTTTCTATGTTGTTCCAAAACCATTTTATTTCATGTCATCCTCGCCTCTACTTAATCGATCATTTAGTTTACACTTTAAAAAATGGTGTGTAAGAGCTGACCCGCGCCGCAAGCATACGCCGCTATTTAGTTGTTTCATTTTCTACTTGTTAGTAATTCATAATTGGTAATTCAATAATTCAATGCTGCGATTGAAAATATTTTCTTTTAAATCAGTAGCTCGTGAAGGACGATAATCCTTACTCTCCCTTCCCCGCCCCCACCCCTCCCCGCGCCCCCGTGAACTACATGAAAGCAGCCGTCCGTGACGACAGTTTACACAGAGTTTCTTCCAGGCATCTCTTCGAAAAAATTCTACCGCCCCCCCCCCCCCCTCCCGAACGAAATGAAATTTATAATTTATATAATTTATATAGAAAATACATACTTTAAACAGTTTCCGCCCCCTCCTCGAAGAAAGTTTACCGCCCCCCCCCCCCCGAAGAAAGTTTACCGCCCCCCCCCCCCCCGAAAATTTCAAGTGCCCCCCCCCCCCCTCCTAGAAAAAAGTCTGGAAGAAACACTGAATTTACAGACGACAATGAATAGATCAAGCAAAGCGTGTTATTACCTCCCCTTAGTTTCAAATCTTTCAAATAGTTTAAAAACTAAATTATCTGCCCCTAATACATTTGGCGCGAAGCACAGCTCACCGCACTGGTGGGGGTGGGGTGGTAGCTATATGCCTAGAGAGCGGGGGAGTAACGGCTTGCGTTTACATGACGTCTCGCATTTGAAGAGAATTATATATAGTATTTTATCAAAGGGAAGCAACTTTTAAAATTGTTTTTTTAAAGTCGTTTTAAACTTAATGCATTCAGTAGTTATAAAATATACGAATAAGTCAATTAAACCCAAAACAAAAAAAATACATAAATTCAGTTAAAAAATATTGTAAACAAATTGAGTAAGATACAAAATTGTATTACTATTTTATATTAATATTAAAACATACATTGATTTTAAATTAAAACTCTGAAGACATCATAAATTTATTTTAAAAAGTTTTTGGTTTGCTAGTTATTCTTATAGCTTATACTTTTTATTTCCTTAACAAAACTAAGAAAGTCACAACCAAAAGAAAAGAAAATAATTTCAAGAAGCACCACATCTAAGAACTAAAAACATGGACTGGGAGCAATCAAACTATAAATAGTTTTTCTTTATAAGAAAACTACACGTTTAAAAATAATTAAACAATAAAATATGGAACAAATCTATAATAAATGTAATAATATTTCATGTATGCTCATGCATTACTATGCAAACATGCTCATACCGTTTTACTCATAGATTGAATGGTCTAAACGAAGTTAATGGAAGAATAAAGGTAACACAAAAAAAATGACAAAAAATAAGACAAGGACTGAGAACACTCACTAAATTTAAACAAAGGAAAAGAGTATTAATCATAACTAAGAGAATATTATTTTCAAGCGTTACAGCTCTAGATCTACCCTGATGTTTGAAGAGTGATTGGGTTTCTTATGTAGTTCAAAAGTAACAATGTGAATGTTAGGAAAAGATACACACACCCTCCCCTACCCTGTTTGATCAGAGCCACTCTACGGACACCCACAAGGGCAATGTTTCTCCCATACTTTTTTCTCCGGGGGGGGGCACTTGCGGGGGGGGGGGAGGCGGGGTGGACACTGGTAAAAGTATGTTTTCTATATAAATTCAATTTCGTTTTGGGGGGGGGAGGGGACGGTAGACTTTCTTCAGGAGGGCTGAGCCTCCCCCCCCCCCCCCCCCGAAGAGATGCCTGGAAGAAACTCTGAACAAGGGTCAAGTTTGGCTCCTGTAAAAGGTAGGATCCGTATTAGATTGACCTTTTGCCACTGTTGTTTTTGTTTTCTGGCCACGCGTGGCAAAAATTGTAACTTTTGGCTTCACATCTGAGGGCAACAGTTAACTAAGAAGTAATAAAACAAATATAACATACCTTTATTGCAGCAAGCTTTTAAATGCTCTGAAAATAAGAAAATAAAACTAGTTTGCTTTTTATTTTAACAGGTGGTATTAAAAACTACACAATGAATGTTTACATGGGACGATTCGTTATATTTTTCTCAATCCTTGACACTTTTATTGGCACCTTGTAAGTTCAGGTAGTTCTTGCTTTTCCTTAAAGTTGTATTTTAATTATTGTTTACTTCGTTATCAGCACGCGAATAGATTATGTAGCATTTCAAAAGTATTAATTATTAATGCAAAATATATGTACAGGTTTGTAAATTAATATCATTTTAGTTTAACAGATAATCATAATTTAAGACATATTTTAATGTAAAAACACAACAAATGAAACAGTTGTTTTTATGGATATGTTGATTTTAATACGGACAGATGAACTTTGCCATCTATGTTTAGGTTCGCCTGCCTTTTCATCAGATTAGATTTATCAGTCATAGTTTTATAAGATCTATCATGACAACTGTATCGATTATTGAAAGTTTCATCATCAATTAGGTAAAAATATGGCTGATATTCTACCGACCTGCTTGCTCCTTAAAATAGAAAGTTAAATAATATTTGGGTCATCTTATGTCAGAAAGTAAGGTACTGTCAGTGCTGTTAGGTCAATGGTATAAAATGACTGCATAGTGTGCATAGTTGGTGTCACATCACAATCGTTGAGAATGTTGAGCTTTGTGTCAAGTGCCTTTCTATTCTTATGCGTTTTTTACACAGGTTGGTGGTTGTTTTTTTGTTTTTTTTGTTTTTTTTGTTTTTTTATTGTTTTTTTGTTTTTTTGGAGAATATGCATTAGAGGTTTCAAATATACTTTTGACAACATTATTTTTTAAAATCAAATTAAAATTCTAAAACGTCAATTCTACGCAGAGGCGTAGCGACCCTTCCCGGCACCCGGGGACAAAATTTCGATTTGCACCCCCCCCCCTCGAACTTTCGATTTACACCCCCCCTTTAACCTGTCCATTTGTTTTTCCAACCCATTTTGGCGCCACCCCTAAGGTCGGCGCCCGGAGATATAATATGTCCCTTCCCCCCGCCCCTTGCTACGCCTCTGATTCTACGCTATTTAAAAATCTTTTGTTTTTCAGTCCATGGCCTGGAGATACAAGTCACGCCTCGAGTGTTGGAGATTGGGGTCACCAGGTACCTGACGGTCAAATGTCTGGCACCAAAAGAGATCCCGTCGACCATCGATAGTCTGATTTCATTGGCCATCTTTAGATCCGATGGTTCGCAGGGTTCCGCTTTCAAAGAACTTTCCTCCATCAACGCTTTTCATGCAGACAGCCAGGTCATCCAAAACGTCAAAGACAACGAAACATCAGAAGGAAAAATTGACAACAACGGCCTGTCATACTTAACTCTAGTTTGGGAATTCCCGGACGCCAGTAAAGCCGGGGTGTACGTGTGTCAAGCTAACGGTGTGGATTTTTCCGGTCACCCCGTTTCTAAAAATAGTCCAGCGATTTCTGTTCAGTCGACTCATCCCGGAGTAGAATCGCTGGTTAATCAAATGAAAAATTTTACAACTCAGATGGAGCAAGTACTCAGTGCGGTCAGCGGTCTTGAAAACTTCAGAGAAGTCTGGATCAATCGCGTACAGCGTATGAAATCTGTCATGTTTAGTTCAAACGTTTCTTACAACGGACATGGTTATTATCTGTCTTTCTTACATAGGTCTATGATCGTACACGATTTTTCAGCCGTCTGCGAAATGTTTGGTGGTTATTTGGTAGAGATCGATTCCACGGATGAATTTACTTTCCTCGGTAATTTTGTAAATAACCATTCAGATATTAATTGGGTCCCTACCGGAATAACCGATGAACTAAACGAAAACGTGTGGATTAACATGAATGCTGGCACCGTTGCTACGAATTACATCCAATTCGCCGCACGGGAGCCAAACGGTGGCCGCGGTGAAAATTGTCTGGCACTGTCTCGAGAAAATGGGTGGAAGATAGTTGATATCGCCTGCTCCTATGCATGGCCCAGTTTTCAAATGGGATTTGTATGTGAAATTCCAGAGTAAAAATTTCCAGTTTCATATTTTAATTTATAATCACAATGTTCCTTGTAATCAATGGGTTTTTTTTTTATCCTGTAAAATGTTCAACAATTAAACGGTTTCTTGAAAACCAGTTGTATTATCAAAACGTGTTTAAAATTATACAGCCAATTCGTACTATGATAACAATTAGCCTTTATATACATGTAGTTTTATTACCTACTTACAGTGGTACTTTTAAAATACTAATGCGAATAATATGGAAAAAACAATATATAGTGTTTGAAAATATTAATTGTCTGATAATTAATATTAACTTTCAAAAATTTACTAGTTCATATTATGAGTGTTTTTTATCCCTCGTTACTGTTGTGAATTTATATTACTAAAATAAAAGACTAAATTTTAAAAAAAAAAGCAAAATGTTTCTTTCTTCTTTCTTGTATGTTTATTGGTAATATGTGCGTAAAATTAAGTTATATAATCGAAATTGGTCTGAGAAATTGACCCTCTCTGGTTTATTTGATTATGTTGTCTGTGCTTTTTATCATTGATTATCGTAGTATCAACACGTAAATAACGTATAATCTCTTGTTTATCGTGTACATAATGATATCACAATCAACCTTCACATGACTATCAGATGGCGCGAACGTAGCCTACACACGTAAAGAACAATCTGACACAAATCACGTAGGCCTATTCATGTATTGAGATAAAACTTTGCTATCATCACTCTCTGAAGCAATGTAAACACTTTACACAGTGACGTAGCCAGGACCGTCTTATGGGGGATGGGTTCAATTTTTTCCAGTATATATATATATATATATATATATATATATATATATATATATATATATATATATATATTTATATTTATATATATATATATATATATATATATATATATATATATATATATATATATATATATATATATATATATGTGTGTGTGTGTGTGTGTGTGTATGTGTGTATGATGGAGTTTGTGTGTGTGTGTGTTGGATTACGTATAGTCGGCTAATAATACAGTTGGATGTAGAATTGCTCTCTCCACAGTTATCAGTTTACGTCATGCTGTCACCCCCACCTTCTTGTAATAATTATCGATTTGTACTTACAACATTTTTTAACTTTAATTAATCATTAATGGAACTGTCAAAAAGTATTTGTCTTCTGAACAATTTGCTGTTGTTTTTTTTTGCCATGGTGTCACCCCCCCCCCCCCGCGCAATTGGTGTCACCTGGTGCGATCCGCACCTCCGCCCCGCCCTTGTTACGCCTCTGGTAGAGACATTACTTCCTGGTTGTACACGTGACCCACATACATCTGAAATAAACCACAAACGATTAGACTGTTATTGGTCGGATACCTAAATAGATAAGTTAATAAATGTGTCAGTAAACAAGGATGTTATTGGTCAGATAATTAATTAGATAAGATAATAAATGCATAAGTAAAGAAGAGTTCTCAGATTATTGACGAGGATGATTCTTGTGATTGGTAGAATGATAAAATTAAAAAGTAAAGTTCCCCTTTCTAACCTGACAGTTTCTGGGGCAAGTTTATGTGACCTCAGCATGTGAAGGTATAGTGTGGTCAGCACTATGCCCACCCGCCTTTACTTTCCCTAACTTGAGTTAGGTAGGCCTACTCATCAGACCTTGGTGGCCTCAGGAACGATCTACTGGCTGGAACCCGAATTTGGGGGGTGGGAGGGGAAGTTACATCAACTCAACTGTTGCAAGATACATGCCTGTGGAAAACGGTTTGGTTGGGAATCGTAATAACCTATATGTAATCCATGTGTGTGGGGGCGGGGGGGGGGGGGTGTAAAAAATTAAATACATCCAGCAGAAAACAAATTTTTGAATACATATACACATACGTATACACATACATACAAATATATATAGAATATATATAAGTATATATATATATATATATATATATATATATATATATCGTTATCGTTTATGGGTGGAGGGGTAACACCATTAGGTGCCGCACCTGGTGACACCCGACCTCGATACGCCACTGGCTTTGTTCACTAGGGTTTTTTTTTTTACTCTGCTACCGTCATATCGGGATTGTAAATATTGTTGAAACTGTTCCAAACTTTTATTATCAGTAAGCAAAATAATTGCTGATGTTCTGTCAACATGCGTGCTTTTTAAATAGAAAGCGTATTACTATTTTAATTAATCATCTTATGTCAGCATGTTAGATTTCGTCAGTACTGATAAAGAGAAAAATAGTATATAACGACTGCCTAGTTGATGTTCTGTCAAATTGTCGACAATGTTGAACTTTGTGTCAAGAGCTGCTTTCTTCTTAGCTGTAATTTCCACAGGTTGGTGTTTTATATTCTAACTAGCGTACCCGACCCCAGCGCGTTGCCGCGGGGATAGAAGAAAGTCTGACAAAATATATTAGTATTTCACCAACGCGTTATCAATTATAATTATATGTTCTTAGACACGTGACCTTCTTTTCTAAAACTGAGTTATTTAAATGTAAACATTGCCTGTTCTTGGATCATAAATGTCAGGACACGGGTTTACCTACACTTCCGCATGAAAACCTGGAGTGTACATAAATCACTCACCGAAATAATATGGTAGAACACACTTCGGTGACCGCCCCTGTGTCAGAGACATAGAGGCCTGCTCTCAGGGCCCCCACCCTCCACCCTATTACACTACCGCATAGGCGCGGCGTACGACCCCTGGCTCATTAAAACTAACAGGCGCCATCGGCTAAATAGCATCCTGTTAATAATGATGCAGATTTCGTCATTCGCTAAAGTGACACAAATGAACAGGATTTTTTTTCTTTAACACGTAAAAAAATTATTTGACGTGTTTAAAATATCAGTGTGACTGATGCAATATGCTAGCGTTACTAATGGTCTATTATTAGATGCTCGATCTCAATTTCTGACTGGATTGTCTAATAACAGATGCTTATTGCATCATTCGCAAAGTGACGAAACTCTACACTAGGCTACTCAAAAAGTTATATTTTCATCTTTCGCAAGGTGACGAAACTGTACAGAACGATTTCCTCGCGTTACAAATTTATTTTTAGAAGCCTGTTGTAGTTTTACCGCTGAATATAGTAGTACCCCTTACTCGCTATGCAGGACGCTCGATTAACGGATGCCAAGTGCCAACTTCGTCGCTCTAAAACTCTGGGCGCCAAACCGTGTATTGACGAAAGTTGTACCCTATATGGCGCCGCCCGTAAGAAACTTTAGTTTTCTTTTTCGCAGAAATATTCTCGGGAGTATTCTCATTAATCTCATCTACTCCCTAAAGTTTCTTTGCACTCGGATGAACCGCATCCGAGTTTTATTTTTTAAATACCGTGTATAGAGAAAAATAAAATCGCTCTCCCCGGGGGGGGGGGGGCACCACCCTTGCAATATTAAACAATATTGTTTTGTAGAACCCTACCATTGAGTAATCCAATCATCTCCCCAAAGTTTCATAGTACACGGATGAACGGTGTGAAACCCAAATTTTAAAAACCGTATATAGAGAAAAATCGCAGCCGCCCGTGGCGCCGCCCTTGCGAAATTAAAAATGATATTTTGCAGAACCTTTCCCTAGAGTTTTATAATGAACTTCCCAAAGTTTCATGCCTATCGGATAAACGGTGTCACTGCAATTCACTTTTATTATTTTTATATACCGTCAATAGAAAAAAAATCGGACCCTCCCGTGGCGCCGCCCTTGCGAAATTAAAAATTATTTTTTTACAGAACCTTTCCCTAGAGTAGTATAATGAACTCCCCAAAGTCTCATGGCTATTGGATGAACGATGCCAAACCAAAATTGACTTTTATTTTTATATACCGTATATAGAAAAAAAAAACAAATCGCGCCGAGTCGGGGCAGTAGCGTAGTGAGGGGTGGGGGGCGTGGGGGGACATATGTCCCCGGGCGCCGACCTTAGGGGGCGCCAAAATGGGTTGGAAAAATAAATTGAAAGGTTGAGGGGAGTGCAAATCGAAATCACGAGGGGGAGTGTAAATCGAAAGTTTGAGGGGGGGGGGGGGTTGCAAATCGAAAACTTGACGGGTGGGGGGTTCAAATCGAAAAGTTTGTCCCCGGGCGCCGGGAAGGGTCACTACGTCTCTGTTGTCGGGGCGCCACCCCTGCGAATTAGAAATTGTTTTTTTTTCGCAGAAACCTCCCCAGGAATATTCTCAACAACTTCCTAAAGTTTCATGGCGATCGTGTGAACGGTGTCACGGCAATTCACTTTTATTATTTTTATATACCGTATATAGAGAAAAATCGCACCCTCCCGTGGCGCCGCCCTTGCGAAATTAAAAATGATTTTTGTACAGAACCCTTCCCTAGAGTGTTCTAATCAACTCCCCAAAGTTTCATGCCTATCGGATGAACAGTGTGAAATCAAAATCGACTTTTATTTTTATATACCGTATATAGAGAAAAAAAAATCGCGCCCTGCCGGGGCACCATCCCCGCGAATTTGAAAATGTTTATTGCGCAAAAACCTCCCCAGGAGTATTCTCAACAACTTCCCAAAGTTTCACGGCGATGTGATTAGAGGTCTGGTAATGCATAAAAGACACACAGACAGACACACATACATTGCTTTTTATATTTATAGATGGGTGAGTAAAGTCTGCAGACATTAGTGATTTAAATTGTACGAGCCGACCTGCGGCGTAGCATGCGTAACAATTAAATTGTTTTATTTTCTACTTTACAATAATTCATAATTAGAAATCAGCCGTCCATGACGACAGTTTACAGACGACAATAAAAAGATCAAGCAGAACTTGTTACCTCCTCTTAGTTTTATTTTATATGTCCCATAATAGTCGTCGCTAATTCCAAAGGCTCTATGATTGTAAACATTCCGCGTGAACCTCAGATCACCAGACTGGTGGCGGTCGGGTCGATAGCGATATGGTCTGTTGCGCATGCCTAGAGAGCGAAGGAGGAGGATTAGATCATTGTGGTGGTGTCCACGTAGAGAATTATATATTTAGACTATTCTTAGTTGCTTCAGCTTAAAGTAAAACTAATATAATAACTATTGTATTCTAAAACTATTTTCAGGCCTTGGCCTGGAGATACAAGCCACGCCCACTACATTTGAGATTGGAATCACCAGGACTTTGACCGTCAAATGCCTGGCACCAAAAGAGACCAACTCTTCCATGGAGAGCCTGATCTCCTTGGTGGTTTCTAGATCCAACGGTTCTCAAAATGC